TACTTTAGTATGTAACTTAGTATGTAGTATATAGTTTAGAGCAATTGTTTTCCTGAAGGGCACTGAAGGATTAGGCCCATCTATCAGTAGAGTGGCTCAGGACTGCAGTAATTTTGCAAGGGGAAGAAATGAGCGTACCTTCCCGGAGAGTCTGAGATGATTATCATATTGTCTCCTCTCCACTCCACCAGTTCTCCTTCAGAAGAGCTGATTTTAGTTGTTTATGGGAGTAAACTGTAGTGGGAGGTAGTGTTTTCTAAACCTTCACTATTTATACTCATTCATGTAGGCAATATTAATTAATTAGTGCAATAGTTTGCTTTAAGGAAACACATTAGAATAGACACTCAGTAAATATGTGTTGACTAAATGGATTTTTAAAGATTCTATAAAGAACACGTTCCCCTTAAATAATACCTCTTTAGAATGTGGTTTAAAATGAGCACCTTGTTAATCCTTTGCTCCTGTAGTATGAGTTGATATTGTTGACCTTAAACAAATAGACAGCCAGATAATTCTCCAGCAAAATGGGTTTATTTGGGAAAAACAAAGAATTGTAATTTGGGATACATGTGTCATCCCACTGCCTTCTGGCCACCATGTTTCCTGATGAGACATTGGCTGTCCCTCTTAGTGAGGATTCCTGTAGGTGATGTGATGCTTTTCGCTTGGCCCTTTAAATGCTCTGTCTTTCTCTTTCAATGGTTTGATTATGATGTGTCTAATGTGAATTTCAGTTTATCCTACTTGGATTTTATTGAGCTTCTCACACGTGTGAACTAATGTTTCTCACCAAATTTGGAAAGTGTTTGGTCATTATTTTTAAAAATATTTTTTCTTCCCTTTTCTCTCTCTCCCTTCCTTTTGAGACTTTCATTGTGTGTAGGTTGACATGCTTTATTTTATCCCACAGGCCTTTGAGGCTCTGTTTATTTTTCTTCATTCCTTTTTTTGTGTGTTTATTTCTTATTCCGGATAACTTCAATAGCTCTATTTTAAAATTCATTGATTATTTTTTTTCTGCTGGCTCATACCTGATGTGGAGCCCCTTGAGTAAATTTTTAATTTCAGTTGTACTTTTTAACTCCACAATTTCTATGTTTTTTATGATATCAGTTTCTTCATTGATATTCCCTATTTGGTGAGACGTCATGTCCATTCTTTCCCTTAGTTCTTTAAACATGGTTTCTTCTAGTTCTTTGAACATATTTAAAATAGCTAATTTAAAGTCTTTGTCTGATCACTGGGCTTCCTCAGGGACAATTCCTAGTGACTGCTTGCCTGCCCCCACCATGTATGAGACCTATTTTCTTTCTCTTTGCATATCTCATTATTTCTGTTGAAAACTGAACATTTAAAATAATATAATATGGGAACTCTGGATTTTTTTCTCCCCCAGGGTTTGTTACTGTTTTTGTCATTGTTGTTTGTTTAGTGAGTTTTCTTAAATAGTTTTGTAGCGTTTGTTATTTTTTGTCACTTGTGGCCACTGAAGTCTCTGTTTCATCAACTTAGTGGTCAGCTAGTGATTGGACACAGACTTTCTTAAATGCCTGGGACTCCCAGTCTTTGTTGAGGGAGGGGCGCTGTGTGCATGGTGGGCCTTGCCTTGACATTCAGTCCTCACCATAGCCTTCACTCACTGCTTGTGCAGAGCCTCAGGGTCTCCCAGGGGTGAGAACTTGGGACCATCTTTGTCCTTTCCTAAACACATGCACAGCCTTGGTCATTAGCATGACTTTCTAGATTGCCACAATTATGCTGGAACTCTCCACAGCCCACTGCAGGCCTCTCATTCCCTAGCTTTTCTTTTTATATTTTTTGCTTAGCTTCTTGTTTATCCCAATTTTTATTGCCACCTCAAGCAGCTGCAATATTAAACAGTTGCCTCAGATTATTTTCAACAAATGCCCCTGAGAAAATATTGTTTGTGTTAGGCAAGCTTTAAGGTCAAATAAAGATATGTCTTGCAAACGAGATAGTCCAAGAAACTATCAGAAAGGTAAAATAATGACAGTTATCTGTGAATTGAGCTTTGGAGGAGCTCCAACTATGTTCTGCCCCTTCCAGAAGCTTCTAGGTGGCTGATTTTTACTACAATTGAGGGGCTATTGGTTTTCAGTGTACCATGTAGCTGAGGAGAAGGGGGTGGGACTAAGGCAAATTAAACAGCACTAAGCTGCTATCATTACAGATGGTCAGCCATTTGGTTAATTTCTAGAGCTCTTAAATTGATTTTGATGGTGTTTTCCAGTGTACTCATTGCTTTTATAGAGAAAGAGTTTTTAGAGGTCTTTACTCTGTCATACCTGCTGATGTCAGTCAGCAATAATGATTAGAAATAGCTGTTTTGTGGGATGGAACAGAGAACAGGCTGCAAGCAGATAAAAAGATTGAAGAGAAACATGTGTGGTCCAGTGGAGTTTGGAGAGTGAGGCAGTAGTGATGGGATGTGCTCGCTGTGTACATGGGTGTTCCTGCAAGTTCAGCAGGGCAAGTATGGGTGTGGAGAAGGAAGATAGTGAAATTAGATGAAGGTTGGGTTAACAGAGCAAGTAGGAAGAGTAAGGGCAAGACACTTTGCAAAGCTGTATGGGTAAGCCACAGAGGAAGTCAATTTGTATGAAGAGTGAATGTGTTTTTATAAAGGAATGAGAAAATTGGGAGGAAAAAAGGGTCATCGGAGGATGGCATGGCTTCTGAATTTTAAGAAGTTAGAGATATTGGGTTGCTGGTAAAGTCATGACGTATTTTTCTATGTTTTTCAATGCAAAAATGTGTCATGACTTTCCCGACGACCCAATAGAATCATTGGTAGTTGGCTGACAAGGCTCAGTCTTACGTGAGCAGTGAATGGTGAGGCTAGTGTTGGCAGTACCTTCCACAG